TCAATTAAGTAAGAACCTATGGGATCACACACATAGAGTAAATGTTCGAAGCAAAATCATTAAATTAAATATGATTTAATTTAAGAGTCAATTAATTAAATATGTTTTCATTAATTGATAACATAATTAATTAAATATGGTTTAATTAAATGGTTAGGATATTCGACTTGTATTGGACAAACCTAACGAGGAAGCAAATCAGGTCAACATCAGTTTATTAATAGATAGGTTAACCTAGTCTTTCCTACACATCTATCTAAGAGAGAAAAAAAATAGAAGAGTCTCTAAAGATTTTGTATCGTCTCAAAAACCTTAATTTTGTCCACATTATGGTTAATACCAAAACCTTGCTCATATGTTGCTTTGGTGATATCAAAAGGAAGAAGATGTTCATCTTTTAACTTATACAAAAGAGGACTTTACAAATTGTTGTAAAACACATTACAAAGATAAAACTTCTAAACCTTAGTGTGAATAATAACTGTAAGATAAAACTCCTAAACGGGTGTGGATAATAATTTGTTTGTTCAAGATAAAACTTAGTTGAATAATAATTCTTAAAATCATTATCATTTAAAGTGTTTATTCTAATTTATATACATAATTAAACCTTAAACACACCATGACAAACATTTGTAGTATGTTTAGTTTTAGTCAAGTAAGTGAAAGGAAAGAAAAGAGAAAAAAAAAAATAGAAAGTAAAATAATTCTTGAAGTTATATTTGGTAGAGGAAAAAAAGAAATGAAAGGTAAAAATATTTTACAACATTTTTATTTATATATAATAGTCGAATTGAAATTAATAAAGCACTAATAAGTAACTCTTTCCTTTTTTTTTTTTCGTCTAATTTTTTCCACCCCCTCTCAATCTGTCCCTTGGTCTTCAGTAGATATAAAGGAAGCGTTAGACTATTATTGTAGGCAGTCTCAAAAAGCATGCATACTTTATGCAATAGTCTTTATTACAGCGATACATAAGCTTTTCTTTTGCTGAATACAGCGATACATAAGCTATTCCAACATGACCATAACTAGAAAATTCACTGTCTACAGAAAAAAGGCAATGACCACTCTAAGTGTATTTGAAAATTCATTACCATTTACCAACCATGTTTACACTTTTGGGATCTATTCGGTAAAGAAAAAGAAGTAAAAAGATATGATGCATAAAAGTTTTTAAAAAATGAATAAAAAATGAGAATTTTAGTAGAAATAAAAGTGCTTAGTTTTTTTTTTAAAAAGAAAAAATATAAATAGGTGAATAAAAATAAGTGAGAAAAAAATAAAAATAATTAATGAACTTTATATTTATTTTTCTTTCCACCCAACAAAGTCATTTTTTTTAATTTCTCACTCTTTGTTGATTATTGTGTAATGACCACCTTAAGTTTGAATTTAAGACAGTATATTATTTCACTTCCCTTCATTAGGGCTACTTTAATTATTCTTTTTCCTCTTCATTCTATTTCTTAGGAAAAAAATTGCGCTAACCATCTTTAAGTTCTTTTTAAATAATGTACACTTTTCTTTTAGTTTTTAAGTGAACACTAATCTCTTTTATTTATTTAAGTGACATATCCACATCTCTTTATATAAGATAACACTATTTGTGTATGGTTAAGAGAACACAAATTATTAATATAAGTGCAAATAATTGAATAAGACTCGATCTCACACTCAATTTTAACTTTCAAATTATATCATAAATATTATGTGTATTGTGATTTAAAAAATATAATAATGTACATAAATATTTTCAAAAAACTTGCTGGAAAATTATTATTTTTAAAATTAAAGAAAAAAAAAATTTTCATAAAGAAAATAAAATATTATACATAATATTAGAAATGAAGGATTGACACGTATATGATTGGTCAAATATGAATTGACGTTTATTTTTTCTTCTTTCTCACTTTAACTAGCGATACTATTAAAAAAATGAATATTTTTTAAAAATTAGAAGAGAAATGCATGTCATTTAAACAGATTCTAGAAGAAGTGAATGTAATTTTTCCTAATTTTTATTCACCAAACAAGGGCTAGTGACAATTTCTTTTTGGACAACTATTTCTTAACACGACAATTATAATACAAAAGGATGCACATATGTTTGCCTATACAACTTATTTATTTATATGAATTGAATATGGTAACAAGGGTTTATAATAACTCAAAAATATTGTTATCAATTGATTAGTTAGATTCATTAGTTGTTTGATTATGCGACTGAGTCTTCATAAGCGTACCGAAATATACCTTGTCTGTGTGTTATCTGCATAACAATATGAATATAAAGCAAAATATCGTTTTTTTTTTTTGCTGTGATTTAGATCATCTGTGGCTTTAAGCCATTATTCAAAAAGTACATAATTTGTGGTCCTCTCTTGCACGAGCTAGACTTTTCCTAAATATTATAAAAATAACATATTATTCGCACACCATATATATTATTATATTATTTTCTTCACTTTCTTATTTGAACAAAGTGTGTTAAAATGCATAGGTATCTTATTTCGTTGTTCAAAAAGAAAGTAAAGTACTTGTACATGAAAACTTATATTTACCTGATTATAGCAGTAAGTTAAGTAATAATGATTAATAGCATAACAAGTACCGTACGTAAATAGTTGTATTGTTAAGGATAATCAATTAGTCAAGCAATACTAAAAAGTTATGGATCCGAATTATTGAATTCAATTTTCTTGAATAAGGTTTTATTAGTTCGAGTATTGTGAGAAAAGAAAAAGTGGTTTAGAAAGACTTTGTAGCAATTATAAAAATAAAAAATAAAAAAAAAGTGATGCAAAAAACCACCTATGCTAGCTCTTTGTGACTCATTTCACAAATGGTGACTATATAAAAAACAAAATACGAAGTTTCGTTGGATGTTATTAGAAAGGTGGTTCCCTTAGTTATATATGCATCTTAATAAGAGTGTCAAAAGGCAACATACAGTGTCATAGATCATCGCTAATTTCATTTGGTCCCGCAAACGCAAAAACAAACCACACACACTCGTGTGTTTTTTCTGTCGTCCGTTTGTCATTTGCCACAGAAAACATCTTCTTTTTTTGTTATAATAATTCCAATTGACTGATGCGTAGAACCAGACATGTGAAGTACTCACCCGTCTAAGACTAATGTCCAAACATTCAATCTCATTTTCCATTTAAATGGTTTAATTACAAGGCAAACTACCCTTTTAATTAGCCAAGTAAGGTCAGTGGCACAGTACTGTTTACACTTGTAAACTTTTCTTTTTTTTTCTTATGATGATCACATTAAGATTAAAACAGGATATTATGTATATATATATACTTTACATTATCATTCAATTACAAATTATCATATATAACATAATTTTTACAATAATCATTTTAAAAATTATATAATAATAATTTTTTATTAATAAATAATGTAAAACTTTTTATATTGATAATATATGACTATTAAATTCTATACATATAATACGATGTCATCACGAAGAGTCAAACTCATTTATTGTGTGTCTTCTATATTATCTATTATGCCAAAAGATTAAAGATCCACGCAAACAAACATATTGTGATCCACAGATTTAGCAAACCCCGATTCTCTTATCCAGTTGTTGGATAACAAGTCTCACTTCAATAGGTTAGAAATAAGTTAAAGAACAGTACGTAAGTAGGAGGATCACAAGTTAAATTACTCATAGTATTTTCGGACAAATTAAGAGGTTTCACGTGAGTCGAAAATATAATGAATCACTCTGATACTCTTTATTATTATCATGCCAACAAATTATATGTAATGAACTGCACTAAGCTGGTGTCTAGTGCTCACACCCTGACATCAAAGTCACTATTAAAGAATTTGGTTCAGAAATAAGAAATCACTTCAAAATATATTGATATAAGTTTAGAGGTATTTTTGAAAATTTTTCTATAAAAAAATATTTTTGATTTTCGATAAACAAAGGCTTAAAGACACTTCTAATTTGTATTTAAACGAAGTCTATCTTAACAGTAACATTTTACATGGGCATTTATCAAGGATGCTGGATGGATGATCGAAGATAGAATTGACAGTAGTCCAAATGGTAAAAAGAAAAAGAAAAGAGAAGAGAGGTGCACACAAAGACATATACACACACTTACACTTATGTGATGACCCCAAACATTTAAAGCTGCAGAAGAGTAAGGACGCGAAACCCGGGAAGCAACACAAGTGGTCAGACTGGAACACTGAGTGTGAGTAGTACAACACCCACACCAAATCTGGCTACCTTACCCCTCGTAAAAACCCCACATGCCCTTTTCCCATCACCTCTTTGGTCCACACTCCTAACCATAGTAATTACTATTTTTTTCTTTTTTTAAAATAGTATTCATGCAAAATATTTATAGTTAAAAATATAAGTGCACATTAAATAATAATACAATTTTTTAACACAATCTATTTCATACTTTCAAGCTTTGAATAAGATATAAATTGCTCTCACTTGTATGAAACTAATTTTGATACCATGATTATTACTAACTCTCATTTTCCCCACTATGCAACCTTTTGGGGAATGCTCCGGTGCCCTCTTATTTGAAGGGGTTTTGGTGCCCCTCAGTACAAAAGTTGGGTTTTTAGGGGCAATAAGGTAAATTGATAGCCTTTAGATAATTTATCAATTTACCTTATTGCCCCTAAAAACCCAACTTTTATACTGAGGGGCATCAAAACTCCTTCAAATAAGAGGGCACCGGAGCAATAGCCCAAACTTTTTGGGTCAGTTTAGTTTAGTTTATTCAGCCTCTGCACATCTTGTCTACTACTACTACTCTACTTTCTTCTAGTACCAATAGCATAAACCATAGCCACTTCTTTTTTTTATTTTTATTCTCTCTCTCTCTATTTATCTTTTTTTTTTTTTTTTCCTGCAGTGGTAGAAAGAAAATAACGTGTAATTTAGCATGACACTAGGCGGAATGAATGGACATAAAAGGAAAGTGAAAGATGATGCTATGAATGGTTTATTTAATTGGCACCCGAATGAAAACCTATAGTCATTTGTTTTTTATTCCACTATAGTTCACAAGGGTCTTGCTTTTATAGCGTTTCCAGAACCCGGATTCTGGTCAAAGATATTGGTCTTCTTCGCTTTTAACATATTGCAAGAGAGAGAGAGAGAGAGTGTGTATTTTGCATTAGAAACAGAATCTTCTTTTTCTTCCTACCCTATCTATATCTAGTGAATCGATGGAAGATTATTTGATATTGATGGTCTAGCTTTAGTGATTTCTTAAAATTGAAAGTTTAGACATTAGAAATAGTGAGTGTTGACAAAGAAGGATTGATGGGTAAGAAGAAGCCACAACAGACTAAGGAACTTTCTGTGGCAATAGCCGAAGCATCATCAACAATAGATGAGAAAGGACAAGAAGAACAACAAGAACCACAAGAAGAAGCTCTAGCACAAGCTCATGCTCCTAGAAAGAGAGGAAGACCTCGTAAGCTTATTGCAAAGATGGAACGTGAAGAGGAGAAGGAACAAGGAGGCATAGAGATTTCAATGGAAAAAGGTACAACAAAGGAGGTAGAGGTGGCATCATCAACATGCATGAGAGTTGAGGAGATGCAACTTCCAAAAGTGGAACCATCCAGAAGCAGGGCTAGGAGGAAAAGCAAACCCAGAAAGAGTAGCTAATAATATATATAATAAGAATAATAATAATTGCTGATCCTTTTTCTCTTTTCTAATTTCTTTCCCTCTACTTTTTCATGAACCAATTAATTCTTGCTTGCTTTGATTTGCCATGTTTTTATTTCGGTGATTGATATTGAAACTGATATTGATGTTGTTGTTGTTGTTGGGGAACACAAGTGTCAATAGAAACACTTGAATATTATTATCCTTGCGTTATGTTATGTATTGTGTTATGGTTCCATTAGTTCAATTATTCGTTTCTTTAGCTGAACTTCAATATTATTATCCAACTTCTTAGGTTGAACTTCATACACACACAGAAAGCGAAGTTAATTAATTGGATGTGTTGTGTTAATTACATCATCAGCTTGATGTTTGCATATATATTGATATCGAACTTCTTATTTGGTTGTGCTGTATTTGTTACCTGAAACTATATTTGTGTGATATTATTGGGTATCTTCTTGATATTCCATAGCTATCTTTTTGTGTTATTCCTCAGTCCTCATATACAATACAATAGTAATCTGCTTGAAGTTTGCATACTAATTAATTCTGTTGATTTATATTATACATGTTGTTGTCTCTTGATGGAATCTAGTTCGAGAAATTGAAGGTATTTTATTTATTTATTTATTTATTTTCCTCTCTCTCTCTGCTTACCACTCTTAGCTGTAATCTACCTTCAGTTCTTTGATTGCAAAGAATGGGAGAGAGTGGAAAAAAGAGAAAAGAACGATACGACGAAAAGGAGAATAACAAATGGAATGAAACAATAAGGTCAACTCAACAGGTAAGGTTTACTTGTGTGTGTAATCCAAAAGCTAATAGGGACAATATAAAAATTATATTATTAATTAATATTTTTTTAAAAGATAATTGTTATAAAAATTATTTTATATATAGAGAGAGTGTGTGTGTGATTAATTAATATTATAAAACGTGTGTAGTCTATTTTTCGGTTTTTCTAATAAGTTTTTGAATTTAATAGTTATGCATAAATCATATAAAATGATTTTACTCACAAAATAAAAAAAAAAATATCAATAAATAATAGTATTGTGATCGAATATAATACTAAAATAAAATCCAATATTTTGAAATATCATGTTAATCATCTTATTTTATATTTCTATCTCTTTTGTATAAAGAAGTATAGAATTTGTCTACAATGATTTTTCCAGGTAGATGGATTACTTGAAATATTTGTACTCGTATTAATTTATTACTATTGGTCAATAACATTAAGTTAGTTTATTTAAAAAGATTTGAGAGAGATGAACTTTTGTGACGTTCCGATGAAGAATGTAGTAGCCGCCTCAGCGCACCAATGAATGATAAGGATGGTTCCACCACGTGGCACGTGAACACCACCTTCTAGGTAGAATTATCATTATCGGCAATAAAATATATTTTTTAAAATATTTTTTATTCCATAATTAGTATAAAAAAAGACACTTCATACTTTATTATAAAAAAGATAAAAATGGTAGTTAAGAATATATACATAAAAAAATGTTTATTATCTTTATATATTATTATTGTCGAATTTGAAAAAAATAAATCTCAAAAATATCATATTAATTTTTTAATGAAGTATTAATTTTTAATTTTTTTATTTATATATCTCATAATATATTTTAGAAAGTGATTATTGTGTTGCAACATTTTTTAGTAAAAAAAATCAATTATAAGATTAATTATATAAAATTAGTAATTCTTTTCAATTTTTTTTCTTTTTTTTTATGTGTAAAACAACTTAAGATGATTAATATGAGGCAGAAAAAGTATTTAACATAAAAAAAAAATTATTATTGAGCTGAAACAACCTTTAACAAATGATTAATATGCTCGTTGGTAAAAAAAATATTTAAAATATATATATATATATATATATTTTTTTTTATTTTCATTCTATTTTACAGCAATAATAACCTGCTCTCCCTTCCACCACCGGGTCACACTCCCAGCAGTGCCGACAAGTCCAAGCACTGTCAGTACCACAGGAACCATGGTCACACCACGGAGGAATGTCGTACACTCCGGGACCGCATTGAAGAGCTCATCCAAGCAGGTCACCTCGGCCAGTATGTCCAGCGCCAACAGAGTAACAGAGGTGGCTATGGAGGCCGAGGACGCGGTAGAGGTCGAGGTTCAGGAGCCCGCACTGACTCACACCCGGGTTCCCAACAAAATGCTAGCGGCGCAGTACAAGTCGAGATAAGCCAAGAGACAGAGTCGGCTCCCTTACGGAGAGTAATCAACACGATTACAGGTGGTTTTGCGGGAGGAGGCGCCAGCAGCTCGGCCCGAAGAAGACACCTGTAGAGCATTAACTGCGTCCACTCTACCACCTCGGCCCTGTCGCCACCGGCCCGAAACGGGCTTTCGGCATTCGCGATGGATGGTTGGACTCTTTTATTTGTTTTAAAATATGGATTGCTAGAATGACTTATTCTCAAACTGAGACCTTGTCAAACGAGCAATTTTATTAAAAGGCTCACCAATCCATGTTAATCCCAAGCGGGACCCTCCATGGATTAGCGGTTTTCATAATAAGGAAGGGTTCATGGAGTCGCCACCAATGTTTTACTCAAAACATTGGAAAAAGAAGTTTAAGGCAATCGATTCAAAAA